TTTATTAGGCAGAGAGAGAGAAAGAGAAGTAGAGAGAGAGAGAGAGAGAGAGAGGAAGTTCCAACGCCGTCGTGGGAGGGGATCCCGAGATGGAGTCCGCACAGGTAAGGGGCAGGGGGACTTTTAATCTGGGAGTTACTCCCGCCCCATTCAAGTCCTTGTCCCATGAGAGGAGTTCCCTCAAACTTCCACTGGAGTGATTGATCTTCAACTTTGGTGTCAGATTGGCTGTCCGGCCCACAGCAGAGCTCCTCCTTCCAGGGCTTTTCACGGGCTTTTTTTTTTTTTTTTTTTTGAGACGGGGTTTTGCTCTTGTTTCCCAGGCTGGAGTGCAATGGCGCGATCTCGGCTCACCGCAACCTCCGCCTCCTGGGTTCAGGCAATTCTCCTGCCTCAGCCTCCTGAGTAGCTGGGATTACAGGCACGCACCACCATGCCCAGCTAATTTTTTGTATTTTTAGTAGAGACGGGGTTTCACCATGTTGACCAGGATGGTCTCGCTCTCTTGACCTCGTGATCCACCCGTCTCGGCCTCCCAAAGTGCTGGGATTACAACGGGCTTGTTTAAACAAAGGAAGCTCACTTGGGCAGTCTACCTTTCCTGCACACAGGAAAGTTAGAGGACGAACTCCAGGCTCCTGGATAGGGGGGATGGATAGAGGTATGGTGCTCAGAAGTTCTTGCCTTTGAAACCACGCCCCTTGTGGACTTGGGAAGAGAAGTTAATACAGTCCCTCCCCTTATGAGTAGATGAGTGCTTTTATCATGGAAGTGGGTTAGTTACAATGGGAATGTGTAAAATACATCAAGCCTTTCACAGGAGAGTAAATATTTACAGCCTGAAAACTGAAGGAACAAATGAAGAAGTGTTCAACATCATTAGTGATTAGGGAAATGCAAATCAAGAACACAATGATTTTTTATGCCCATTAGATTGGTAAAAATCAAAACCAAATGTTAGAGAAGATGTAGGTCTACTGGATTTTTAAAATAAAATATTAACAGGAATGTAGATTGATGGAATCATTTCAATAAATATTGGTATTATCTCCCAAACTTTAAAAGGCTAGCAATTTTACACCTAAACATATACTCAATAGTAATTGTTGCCTACATACAACTGGGGACACATACAAGAATGTTTATTGTAGTACCATTCACAATAGCAAAATTTTGAAACAACCATAATGCCCACCAACAAGATGAATAAATTATGATATATTTACATAATGAAATATTCAGCAGTTAAAGTTGTGTAACTACATCAATATACAGTACTATGGGTGACTCCCAGTAATATGAAGTGAAAAAAGTTACATCTTAAAAGGTTACAAGTAGCATACTATTTTTGTAATTTTTTTAAAAATAAAAAATAATTTTCAGGACTATACGTACGAAAAGGGGATGAACGTGGGATTTCAAATGATGGTTATTTGGGGTGGATGAAAATGTATAAATTTCATTGTAGAAATATTAATGTATTTGATTATGTATTTATGTATTATGTATTAATGTATTTGAGTATGTATTAGACACCCAGTGATTATAATACATGTAATGTATTATATGTATTGCCCACTAAACTCCAAAGTATTACTAATTTCAAACTACATCTGGACACAGTGGTTTCTGTTAAGAGATTATGAATCTATAGAGGTCTGGAATGAAAGGCAGCAATGGAGATATATTTTGAAGATAAAATGGAGGAGACTTGCAGATGAACTTGAAGAAGAGGGAAGAATCAAGGATGACTACTAGGTTAGCTGGGCAAATGGTAGTGTCCTTTCTTGAAATGGGGAACAGGAATGTGGACTACATAGATTTGGGAGGGTATTGACATTGATCTGGTATTAGTAAATAATCTGGACTGATCTTGATGTAATTTTCAAATACTATTTCCCTGTACATTCCTTCTAAGCTGCCCTGACTCGGAGATGGCTGTGAATCTCTGGTCCATTTTCCCTCTGTGGATAGATAAGAGTTTCTAATTCCTGGCTCAGTTTTTTCTTCTGTTGCACACAGGCTCTCTTGGTAGGGAGTAGGCCGTCACTAGCCTCTTCCACAGTCACTCAGCCTCTGTTGTTTCCACTTAATTTGCCCACCAGGCTGCTTCTGACATAAAGGTTTTTTGGAACTGTCAGTCCACCAAACGTATACTGAGCTCAGAGAGAACAGTGGGAGCTGTGACAGTTGCTGGCCTGGGAAAAAGACCTCTGCCAACAAGGGATGATGGATATGTCTTAACCCATTTAATGTTACTCTAGAAAATACCTGAGGCTCATTAGTTTACAATGAGGCTTATTTGGCTCATGATTCTGTGGATTGTGTAAGAAGCATGGAGCCAGCATTTGCTTCTGGCGATGGCCTCAGGCTGCTTCTACTTGTCATGGAAAGTGGAGAGCCTGCATGTGTAAAGATCATATGGTGAGAGAGGAAGCAAGAGGGAAGATGCCAGGCCCTTTTAACAACCAGCTCCTTCACAAGAGTTAACTCAGAATGGATCATAGAACAAAATTTAAAACACAAAACTATAAGACTAGAGGATAATATGAGAATCTAGAAGACTGGGCTTAGTGATTTTTTTTTTTTTATAAAACACCAAAGGTATGATGCATGAAAGAAGTAACTGGTAAACTGAGCTTCATTAAAATTAAAAACTTCTGCTTTCCAAAAGACACTGTGACAAGAATGAAAAGATAAACCTCAGACTGGGAGCAAGTGTTTGCCACAGGGATCTTGTAAAGGACTGTTACCCAAAATATACAAAGAACACTAAAACTCAACAATAAGAAAACAACCCAATTTATGGGCAAAAAGAAGATAGGCATAGTGATACATGCTTGTCATCCCAGCCACTCAGGTTGGGGATTGCTCAAGCCCAGGAGTTTGAAACCAGCCTGGGCAATACAGCGAGATCCCATCTCAAAAGTGGTAAATAAAATAGGCAAAAAGATCTGAATGGCACCTCACCAAAGAAGATGTACAAATGGCAGTTAAGCATATGAAAAGGCTGTGCATGGTGGCTCACACCTGTAATCCTAGCACTTTGGAAGGCTGAGGCATGAGTTTGAGCCCAGGACTTCAAGACCAGCCTGAGCAACATAGGGAGACCTCATCTCTACAAAATAAAAAGTAGTCCCAGCTGCTCAGGGGTCTGAAGCAGAAGGATTGCTTGAGTCTGGGAGGTTGAGGCTGCATTGAAGCATGATGTGTCTCCAGCCTGAGTGACAGAACAAGATTCTCACATAAAAAAGAAGAAAAGAAAAAAGATGCTTAACATCATATGTCAGTAAGGAAATGTAAACTAAAAGAACAATGAGATACCACTACACACTTATGAGAATGACAAAAATCCAAAACATTGACAACACCAAATACAAGGGAGAATGTTGAGCAGTACGAAGTCTCATTCATTGCTGCTGGGAATGCAAAATGGTACAGCTACTTTGGAAGACACTTTGGCAGTTTCTTACAAAACTAAACACTCTTGTATGATATAGCAATCACACTCCTTGGTATAATATTTACCCAAATGAGTTGAAAACTTATGTCCACACAAAAACCTGCACATGGAGGTTTATAGCAGCTTTATTCATAATTGCCAAATCTTGGAAGCAACCGAGATATCCTTCAGTAGGTGAATGGAAAACTAAACTATGGTACCTCCAGACATTGGAATATTATTCATGACTAAAAGGAAACGCACCATCAGGCCATAAAAAGACAGAGGAGCCTTAAATGCATATTACTAAGTGAAAAAAGCAAATTAAAAAGGCTGTGTAAACTACAATTATATAATTGCATATTGTTCTGGACAAGGCAAAACTAGAGACAAACACACAAAATCTATAATGCCAGGGTTTAGAGGAGAGGGAGGATGAACAGGCAGAGCACATTGTTTAGGGCTGTGAGACTATTCCGTACTGATGGACACTTGTCATTATGCATAGCTAAAACCTACAGAATGTACACCAAGAGTAAACCCCAATACCAGTAGTAAACTATGGCCTTTAGATGATAATGATGTGTTAGTGTAGGTTTATTGATAATTGATTATAACAAATGTATCACTGGTGAAGGATGTTGATTGTGGGGGAGGTTATGAATGAGGAGGGGAGGGAGTTTATGAGAACTCTACTTTCTGCTCAGTTTTGGAGTGGAGAGGAGTTTATGAGAACTCTACTTTCTGCTCAATTTTGGTGTGAACCTCAAACTGCTCTACAAAATAGAGTCTATTTTTTTTTTTTTAAAATACATAACCAAAGCAAAAATAACTATGATAAGAAGAAAAAAAAAAATGGTTGCCTGCAGGGGTTAAAAGGGTATGGGTGTGGAGGATGGGAGACAAAAGACAGTGGAGCCAGGCTCCGTGGCCGATACCTATAGTTCCAGCCACGCAGGAGGCTGAGGTGGGAGAATCCCTTGAGCCTAGAAATTCGAGGTTTCAGTGAGCTATGTTGCACTCCAGCCTGGGTAACAAAGCAAAACCCTGTCTCTTAAAAAAGTGCGGGAGGGGCAAATTAGGACGAGGGACCTTATATTGGACCAATAACAAAATGTCATGAAATGAAGAGTGAGTTTAACTCATTGCTCTTCACTTTAGTACAAAAGGAAAATGAGATTTGTATGTGCTTTGTAATCACAAATTATATCAGCTTTAGCAGGAGGTTATTGGTCAGATTTTGACCCAGTATTCACTGATTCTGTCCTCAGGTGTTCACATTTTGAACATACTCTTTACAGATAAGGATTTCTCCCCTAAAAAATAAGGTTAAAACTAGAATCTGAATTCAGTTTTCTACAACACACCCCCAAACAAAAGAAAAAATTATTTCATACCTCTCCATAGTTTACTATTACTTTTTAACACAAGCACATTGTTCTCTGCCTACGTGCACTGGAATGACGTCTAAGGACGTGCCTTTCCTGACCATATTTCTTCACGCTTGCTGCCCACTGGTGGCGTGAGGGCACAATAACATGTTTACTTTGCCCTTGCATTGTTCACATCTGGGAACTGCAAAGGAGCGCGGTGGTCGGACTGTCAGCTTCGCCTCCTATTCTTTGATTTCCAGTAACTTATTTTCTAAAGATTGCTGGAGGGAAAGGCTCAACGTCTCTTTTGGGATTTTCCTAAGCAGAACAACCTCATCTTACTAAAACTGAGGCGCCAATCCTGCTGGCAACTTTCGGCAGACAGGGTAATTCTATTTGAAGATTAATCCTAACGCTGGAATTCTTTGGGAATGTCCAGGAGCTAGGAACGCAGCGCCGCGGTCTCCTCAGCTTCCGGTCCTCAAGAGCAACTGGGGGTCAGTGCAGCTGGTGCCGCGGAGGCCGCACGGAAACTCAGCCGCGCCTGTTCCTCCACTGCGCCGGCAGGCGGCGGAGACGCTGCGCGTGCGCGCTGGGGAGACGGTGGCTCGGAGACAACGCTCGCAGACTCCTCCGGTCTGCCCGGGCAGCATGAAGACCGCCGAGAACACCAGAGGAACCGGCAGCGATGGGCCGCAGAAACGAGGCCTCTGCGTCCTCTGCGGCCTCCCTGCGGCAGGAAAATCGACTTTCGCGCGCGCCCTCGCCCACAGGCTACGGCAGGAGGAGGGCTGGGCCGTCGGCGTCGTCGCGTATGATGACGTCATGCCAGACGCGTTTCTCGCCGGGGCAAGCGCTCTACCGGCGGTCAGCCTGGAAGGGAGGGTCGGGGGGGCCCTCGCGTCTGTGGGCCCTGGGTGATTCTTTGCCATGAGCCCCCAGTGCGCACTAGACCGTGCTTGATGTGGGAGGTGAAGTTCGAGAAAAGAGCTGGGTTAACATAGTTACTGCAGAGGGTGAATGAATTGGCTGTAGAAGTGTGTCATAAAGTAGTTACAAAGCCAAGTGTGTTAGAACGACGCATTGTAGAGGCTTATCTGTATATTTGATGCATGTATATATTGAATATTCTATACAGTTGAGTCTTAAGACAGGGTTACGTTCTTAAGTCAGCGTGCAAGGTGGAAAGCCTCTGTAGTCAAATGCACTCTTGAAAATCGCTGGGGAAGTTTCTCCTTGGGAGAGGGAAATAATTTCTAAAACTTTAACATCTAGCCACGGGTGAATTCAGGTTTTATAATTTGAGGAACCCTCTTTAAGAAAAAGAATACAAATTTTAAGTAACAAAATTGTTGGGATCCCTCAGAACGAAAGAGGCTGTACAAACACATTATCAGACCTATGAAGCTCAACCTTTGTTCAACTCAGAGTAACTCTGCCTCTGCCAGCTTTGGAAAAGATGGCTGTTTCTCAGTTGACCACCAGAGGAAATAATGGGCTTGTATTTACGGACCAACTTGTATGTTCCAAGTACATCTCTTTAAGCCCTCCTCTTCTCACACTCAGCACGGTGAGATGTATCCTCTTGGAGAAGCATGTGGAAACTGAGACTGCTTGGGGAAGAGCAGATACATTGGTGTCTTTCATCTTATGCTCACTCTAAATATTCTCTGAAATATTCTGAAATTTAAACATTTTTATGTTTGTTATTTAGTGCCTGATGTAGATGAATTGACAAATCAAATGCAAATGTTATCTGACTCCACTCTCTAAGTATATATACAAAAATACAGTACATTTGGTACATGGGCTCTTCAGCAAAGTGTATCTACTTTCTCATTCTTGGTTAATTGTGAAGCAAGTGCAGTGTCAAGATAGCACAGGATTTACTTGGATGATAGTATTTTCACCACTTGGGAGAAAGCTGAAAGTTGTCGATAGGGATTGTTGTATTTGCTGACTTCCCCCTCACTTGTATTATGTGTTTTTTTCACTGTTTTCCTACAAAGACCATGGGACTCATCTCCTCACCTCTTAGGAAGTGATATATGTTTCCGATTTAGTGGGTTTAGCTGATGTGTTTGTTGTATGTAGTGTAATCTCAGTGAGGTGGTAAGGCATGGGCAGACAAGTGAGAGTTCTCACTCTCCTGTCCTCCTGTTTTCCCTCCAGCTTAGATTTCTTAACTATGTCAGGACCACAGTCCTTGACCAACACAAGATTACTTGTATTCTCCAGCTGCTTATTCCCCTCAGTCTGTTTCCTCCATCTTTCCCCATCACATACCAACTTATTTGTTAGCATGAGGTCTTCTTGACCCACGGCCTTGATTTTTGCTTGTTTGTTTGTTTTCTTTTCTGTTTTGTGATGGAGTCTTGCTCTGTTGCCAGTCTGGAGTGCAGTGGCACAATCTCGGCTCACTGCAACCTCTGCCTTTCAGGTTCCAGCGATTCTCCTACCTCAGCCTCCCAAGTAGCTAGGTCTACAGGCACACCCCACGATGGCCAGCTAATTTTTGTATTTTTAGTAGAAACGGGGTTTCACCATGTTGGCCAGGGTGGTCTTGATCTCATGAACTTGTGATCCGCCCCCCTTGGCCTCCTAAAGTGCAGGGATTACAGGCAAGAGCCACCGTGCACCTAGGGACTTTTCACCTGATCTTTTTGCTGTCTACTACCTTTCTCATTTCAATGGAAAACCTGCATTGTTATATCTTAGCCAGACTATTTTGGCAGGATGTTGATTTGACTCCACCATTCTCCTGGATGGTAAATTCTTTCATTTATTTCGCTCATTCGGTCTTTCAGTCATTCATCCATTTAATATACATTTCTGGAGCATCTGTTAGGTACCAGACCCTCTGCTGGAGGCTCAGTATACAATGGACAGTGATCTAGCAGAGAGAGAAGAGTACAAATGCTTAAACTGTGTAAGCACTGCTAGAGTGGAGATAAATGTACAGAATGGGGTGTCACGATGGGCAAGGGAGAGGCTGAGCTGCCTTCTGCATGGTCGAGTCTGAGATTTACACAGCACTAGTATCATTAGTTTTCCAGGCAGAAGGAATGGTATGTATATGGAGGCATGAGAAACCAGGTGTGTTGGAGAACTACAATTGGTTCCATATCGTGAGCTGAAATTTTCATATGGGGCAGGGTGGCAGTGAGGCCAGATGACCAACCTCCCTAGTGGCCTAATAAGAATTGCAATTCTTTGGTCTCTTGTAGCCATCCCAGTGGAAATTGCTTCGACAGGAACTGTTGAAGTACCTGGAATACTTCTTGATGGCTGTGATTAATGGGTGTCAGATGTCTGCCCCACCCAGCAGGACTGAAGCCATGTGGGAAGATTTTATAACCTGTTTAAAGGATCAAGATCTGATATTTTCTGCAGCATTTGAGGCCCAGTCCTGCTACCTCTTAACAAAAACTGCTGTTTCTAGACCTTTGCTTTTGGTTTTGGATGACAATTTTTATTATCAAAGTATGAGATATGAAGTCTACCAACTGGCTCGGAAATGTAATTAAAACATTTTTTTTCTTACACATGGAGATACTTATCCGCATATCAAAAACACTACTGTCTTCAATGAGAATTTAACTTGATTAGGAGGTTATGTAGATGTACTTAATTTTAAAAGCTGGATGTTCAGTATTGCAAATGGAGTTTTTCTTACTATAATTGTCATAATTTGATACATGTTTCTTTCATATTTTGGAAAATATCCCAGTAATTCTGTCATTTTAAACTGTTTTCAGATTCATTGGGCTTTTGCCAGCTCTTTTTAGATTGTCCTCTTGAGACCTGTTTACAGAGGAATGGCCAGAGGCCACAGGCACTGCCTGCTGCGACCATCCGCCTGATGGGAAGAAAGCTAGAAAAGCCCAGCCCTGAGAAAAATGCTTGGGAACACAACAGCCTCACACTGCAGAGTCCAGCGGGTGCTTCAGGGGCCAGGTATTCCACTCAAAGTCATCCCTCCCTGGATGCTGCCCTGTGCCAGGTCCCAGGGTCAGTGCTTTATTTGTATTGGCTTAGTTAGTCCTCACACAGGCATTGGAGAGAGATTATTTCCCCCTTTGCCTGGAAGCCAAAAGTGAAATGGGAAAATTTAGTTTGTCCACCGAGCTTGTAAATGAGAGCTGAGATTTGAACCCAAGTTTATTTACAAATGTCTGCTGTTAACTGTTAGGATGATACTGTCTTCCAGTGGTTGGAACAGGGAATTCAAAGAACACATCTTTGATTCTCTTTTAAAACAGTCTAAATAGGTTTTCTGGTAGTTTTCTTATAGAAAGAAATCTGTTAAAGAGCAGAACTGGTACTGGGTCCTAATTTGCCTTAGAGCTCACTATAGTTATGTTGCTTTTATGTATGTGAGGCTTGTAGGCTATGCTGTCTAATGCATTTTATACATTATGTATGTCTTGAGAGTTGTAGAGCAGCATATTTCTAGCAGAAATTTTACTGGCAATGGAAATGTTCTGTATTTGCACTAACATGGTAGCTGCTAGCCACGTTTTGACTATTGAGCCCTTAAAAGTAGCTAGTGCAACTGATGACCTGAATTTTTTGTTTAACTTATTAATTTAAACCCAAATAGTCTCATGGTTATAGTGGCTATTGTACTGGGCTGTGCAGTTCTAGAGGTATATTCCCCACATTTCTTTAGTTCCTGCATATTGTCCATGGGGGATCAATGTCAGCTCACTGCAGCCTCGGCCTCCTGGGCTCAAGCAGTTCTCCTGTCTCCATCTCCTAAGTAACTGGAACGACAGGCCCACACTGCCAAGCCCAGCTAATTTTTAAATTTCTTATGGTAACAGGGTCTCACTCTGTTGCCCAGGCTGGTCTCAAACTCCTGACCTCAAGCAATTCTTCCAACTTGGTCTCCCAGTAATCCCCAAATTGCTGGGATTACAAGCATGAGCTACCACCCCAACTAATATTTTCCTAAATTTGGGGTTACATTGGGAACAGTGTCTATAATTCCTTTGGAAATTCTTTTTAGGAATCTTAAGGTTATAGTTCCCTTAAAAATATATTTGCTATGCTTTACCCCTTTTAAGACCGTAAACAAGCTGGGTACAGTGGCTAACACCTGTGATCCCAGCACTTGGGAGGCCAAGAGGGGAGGATCACTTGAATCTAAGAGTTTGAGGCTGCAGTGAGCTATGATAATGCCATTGCACTCCAGCCTGGGTAACAGTGAAACCCTGTCTCTAAAAAAACAGACCAAAGAGAACAAAAGGGCATGGATATGAAAACTAGCTAGTGATCACTGACTAAATAGTAAAACTCAAATTTCTCTCCCAGCTCTGAACACTTTATATGTATGGTCTCATTCAGTCCTCACAACCACACTTTAAGGGGAGAAACTATTACCCCCATTTTATAGATGCCATAACTGAGACCCAGATAAGTAAAGTAATATACCCAGATAGGAAGTGGCAGAGCCAAGATTTGGACCCAGTTGGATCTCACTCACTCCAGAACCTCGGCTCTTTTCAGTGTGGGGAAGATCATCTTGAGGTTGAGCTTTAACTTGATGAGCTCACTTGCTTAAAACTTTTTAGTGCTACTCCTGTAATTTGAGTAAAACTCAAACTCCTTACCCTAACTTACGTGTTCTAAGCCAGATTAACTCTCCAACGTCATATTCTACCCACCTCCCTCCTTGCTTCTTTTCAACCTTCTCTATTGCACGAACACCAAGAGCTTGTTCTTGCCCTGGGGCCCTTGCGCTTGCCGCCCCCTCTGCCCTTCCCACATATTTATACTTGACTGCCTTCACTGACCATCCTAACTAAAGCAAGGAATGTTAGCTGGGCTACCCTGTCACTCCTATCATTGTCACATTATCATCTTCTCTCACTTATGTACTTACCACCGTCTGAAATTCTTCTTGCTTTATTTTACTGTTTTTCTGTCTCTATTACATTATCAACTTTGGAAAAGGCAAGGAATCTTGCTACACCCCCAGCTCAGCATGTAGTTAGTTGCACAGTATTTTTCATGTAAGATGCTCAATAAATATTTGTTAAATGAACGAATGGATTCTACCTGAAACCTTCATGGACCCTTGCTCAGTGCGGAACTTTGCTCATCCATATCCGGTAAATAAGCGGGAGACAGAAAGTAAAGACCAAGCATCTTCGGGAATAAAATCGAGCTCTGGTGGCCCCCAGTTCAGCCTTAAGAGGGGAAGGGGGAACGACTTTTCAAAACTTTTTGACATGAGTCTTAGGAAATTGCGGTATTTAATGAGGGGTCTTTGACTTATCATTAGTTTTGAGCTACAACAATTGGATTTTCTATATGGAACCTAGCTTCTAAATCATTTAGTTTTTTTCCTTTTGTTAAGGATCTTGGGTTATAGCCATTTCATTCCTCCATAGTTCAGTTTAGTATTCATAAATACAAGTTCTTTAAAAGTCAGATGTTCAATATAAGGATTTATTGTATTTTGTCCCATTTTCTCTGTAGCCTGGAGGTGACTGATTTATTGCTCACTGCTTTGGAAAATCCAGTAAAATATGCTGAGGACAATATGGAACAAAAGGTAAAGCTTCCAGTGTAGATTTAATGAAAATAAGAAGGAACAACTTTTTGTAGGAAGATCTTTAGGGCGGAATATAAAATGTGAGTGAAACATGACATGTTGCCACTGGCTTGGCCTCTCACCAGCACTCACTGCTAGCAGCTGATGCTGGCTGGCCAAAGCCGATCGTTAAACTTTCAGAAGTTTTGGAGCCTGTTGATATTTTATTGGTAGGATTGTTTTCACCACAGAAATTGGCAAACATTACAGATTGGTCTGGGTTTTTTTTTACAGAAAAGTCATTTATTAGACATTCACCAGCATATCACCACCTAGCTGGAACCCAATTTAACACTGGATCCGATTTGTTTGGACTCTCTTGTAGGGAAGAATAACAAACAGAAAAGCTACTTAAACTTTTCTTTTAGTCCCTTCAAATACATGTGACCTATGCTTTAGCCATTTGTTTTATAAAATTATGTGACTTCTAAGTAACAATGTCTGTATTACATAGGACACAGACAGAATTATTTGTTCAACAAACATTCTTCATACAGCTGATGTGACACTCCGAAGAATTGTATCTCAGACAATGAAGGAAGCAAAAGGTATGATGTGTCAGTTACATGTTTAGTTGGTAAGATTGTGACTTTCTGCTGCCACTGTTATTCCTGACACTCAGTTTATTAGTTTTCAGTCATAAAAGTTTACATCATGTTTTCAGTTTAATTATGAAATTTGACTAAATATAATTAAAAATTCTACCTCTGGAACTGAGTGTTCATTCAACAGATTTTTACTGAGTGGCCTTACTATCTAGGCTTTACCCTAGATGCTGGGGAATAGGCAGGGAGCAGAACATTCTAATAAGGAGACAGACAAAACATAATTACATGAGTATACACCCATGCTCTGAAGAAAATGTAGGGTAAGGCAGTGTAGAGTGATGGGAGGATTTGTTTTTAAAAGGGTAATCAGGAAGGCTTCTCAGAGATGACATTTAAGCAAAGATGTGAAAGAAGAGAAAGAACAAACCATCCAGGTATCTGGAGGACCATTCTAGGCAATGAACACATCAAGTGCAGAAGCCCAGAAGCTGGCTGTTTGGAATGTTACAGAATCTAAAAGAGGCCATTGAGCATGGTGTGAAGTAAGAAAAGGGGAGAGGTAGTCAGGGGCCAGGTGTCAGATCAGCATGGAATTTGAATAAAATCAATGTATTTTAAACTTGAATTTATATAATAGATGAAATATGTGGTAACTATAGTTTTATACAATAATTCCATTAGGTTTTGAATACTGTATTGCCGTATTTAAAATTGTATCTTTAAAAGCCAGCAGCTAGCATTTTCTGAGCACCTTTGTATATGTTAAGTGCTTTACAAATATTGTTTGTAATCTTCACAGTCCTATAAGGTACATGTAGTTTTACAAATGGGGAAATGGAGGTTCATAGAGGACCAAGTAACTTGTCCAAGACTGAACAGCTACTAAATATTTAGGTAACCTGGGGTCCAGAATTACATCCAGTTCCACTCTGAGCCTCCCATTCTGCTCCCCTGCATCATCATCATTTATTACCTTTACGAAAGCTTAGAACATTGGAAAAGGAAACAATATATTAGCCATACCGTTTTCGAACTTTTATAAAACCATGTTGTATAAGTTGATTTTATGTTGTAACCCAGTGTATAACCCAGTACACGAACTCATGTGTGGAAACACGTTTCACAAAACACCTTAACATGTTTAATGAACTCTATGTTCTACTTGATTTCATTTTAGAAAAACACCAATTGCCACTTACTAATGGGTTACAATGCAAAGTTTGAGAAACAGAGGACCAAAACAGAAATGGCATCATTATTAAAATAAAAACAGAGCCAGGCATGGTGGCTCACACCAGTAATCCTAGCACTTTGGGAGGCCGAGGCGGGCAGATCACAAGGTCAGGAGTTTGAGACCAGCCTGACCAACGTGGTGGAACCCTGTCTCTACTAAAAATACAAAACTCAGCCGGACATGGTGAGGCACGCACGTGTAATCCCAGCTACTCAGAAGGCTGAGGCAGTAACGAATCGCTTGAACCTGGGACACAGAGGCTGCAGTGAGCTCAAATCATGCCACTGCATTCAATAAATTAAGTTAGTTAGTTAGTTCCAGGAGTTCTCACTCAACCATTTGCCTTTCTTCTTTTCTGCCTATAAAATGAAATGAGGTCCTGAGGGGTTGTCGAGAATAGGGTTATGCCCAATTCACTCTTATATCCCAACCATTTAAAAACATACAGATAGGCCAGGCATGGTGGCTCCTGCCTGTAATCCCAGCACTTTGGGAGGCTGAGGCGTGTGGATCACGAGGTCAAGAGATCAGATCAAGACCATCCTGGCCAAGATGGTGAAACCCTGTCCCTACTAAAAACACAAAAATTAGTTGGGTGTGGTGGTATGTGCCTGTAGTCCCAGCTACTCAGGAGGCTGAGGCAGGAGAATCGCTTGAACCCAGAGGTGAGGTTGCGGTAAGCCGATATCATGCCACTGCACTCCAGCCTGGAGACAGAGCAAGACTGACTCTGTCTCCAAAAAAAAAAAAAAAAAAAAAAAAAAAAAAAACACAAATATATTTTTTAGGTGAGGGGAGGTAGTAGTAGTTTCTAGACCTGAGCTTAATTAAAAATTCAGTTCCCCTACCATCAAGAAAGTAAAAAGACAACCCATAGATCGGAGAAAATATTTGCAGACATATATCTCATAAGGACCTTGTATCCAAAATATATAAAGAACTCTTACCACTCAATAATATACACAACCCAATTTTTAAAAAAGGCAAATGATCTGAGTAGACATTTTTCCAAGGAAGATATACAAACAGCCAGTAGCCACAGGAACACATGCTCATCATGATTAGTCATCGGAGAAATACAAATCAAAACCATAAGACAGCACTTCACACCCACTAGGAGGTCTAGAATTAAAACGTTCAAATGTTGAGAATGTGGAGAAGTATCAGATGGTACAGCTGCTTTGGAAAACAGCTAGCAGGCCCTCAAACATACAGTTAGCATGTGACCCAACAATTTCATTCCCAGGTGTATACCCGAGAGAGATGAAAACATGTTCACACAAAAACTTGTACACAAATGTTTATGGCAGCATTATTCATGATAGCCAAAATGTGAAAATAACCCAATGTCCATCAGCTGACAAATGGATAAACAAACTTTGGTGTATCCATACAAGGAAATATTATTCAGCCATAAAAAGGAATGAAATGCTGATACATGCTATACAGTATGGAATAACCTTGAAAACGATGCAAAGTACAAGAAGTCGGTCCCAAAAGACCAAGTAAACATGTACTTCCAGTCACATGAAATGTCCTGAACAGGGAAATCTTGAGACAGACAGTGGATGTTTGGTTGCCTGGAGATTGGGGGTGGGCAGAAGGGAAGGGGGTTAGGAGGATGATAGCTAAAGGATGTGGGTTTTTTGTTTTGGAGACGGAGTCTTGTTCTGTTGCTCATCCTGGAGTGCAATGGCACGATCTCGGCTCACTGCAACCTTCACCTCCCAGGTTTAAGCAATTTTCCTGCCTCAGCCTACCGAGTAGCTGGGATTACAAGCATGTGCCACCATGCCCTGCTAATTTTTGTATTTTTAGTACTGGAGGGGTTTTGCCATGTTGGCCAGTCTGGTCTCAAACGCCTGATATCAGGTGATCCGCCTGCCTCAGCCTCCCTTGGTGCTGGGATTACAGGCGTGAGCCATCAGAATATGGATTTTTGAGAGGATGAAAATGTTCTAAAATTAACTGGTGATAGTTGTACATATCTGTAAATATAAAAAAAACCACTGTATTATAGAGATTAAATGGGTAAATTGTATGTGAATTATATCCTAATAAAGCTAACAAAAAAATAAAATTCAGCTTCTCGGTAATACTACCCATGTGTGGCTAAGTGGCTGCTGTATTTAATGCAGCAGATATAGATGAGGTCCATCATTGCAGAAAGTTATGTTGGACAACTACTGTTCTAGGCATTATTTACCAGGTTCAAAACCAAACTGTCATCTTCTGTTTCTGCTTTTTTGCCTGTCTGCTTAATTCAGTAAGGCAGTAAGTCAGCTGTCTTGATTTTTCTTGGCAACAACAACAAAAAGTCCCTTTCAGGTTAATCTCTTCTGCTCACGTTTCCTAACAAGTTAGTTAAATCTGACTTGTTTCAGATGATTTGACTATCACATTATGACCTTTTGTCTATATATTATACCAACTCAGTTGTGATTGTTTATAGAATCTGACTGGTTTAATCAAATTAATTTCCTAGTGTCATTAGACACCCCAGATTACTTTAATTTACACCAGTAATTTGAGAATATCTTTTTTAGATGAACGAGTGCTTCCTTACAAATTGAAGCTTCTAGCAGAAGAACTTAACAAGCTCAAAGCAGAGTTTTTGGAAGACCTAAAACAAGGAAACAAAAAATATCTGTGCTTTCAACAAACCACTGATGTATCAAATGTCATTTCTTTTTTTCATTATGAGAAAGATAATATTGTACAGAAGTATTTTTCAAAGCAGCATTAAAATTTCTTAATTGCCAATCAAATGTCTCATTTTGGTAACCTTCTACAAATTTGCTAAAACAACAGTATTGTATTACAGTTGGTTTTCTAGGCCAATAATGCTGAAGTGAGTCAGTCACTTGTCAGATGACATGTGGATAATTAAGCACAGAGGCAGCCTTCCTTATGTGCCAGAACACTTAGGGTAGGGATTGGGGGACAGGGGTCAAGTCAAATAGATCTTGAATAAAGAGAGGAAACTAGGAGGGAGACAAGTTATGGATGTATGGAGCTCTTTTGGTTTTTAACTCGTGATAGATCTTCTCAGGTTAAGACATTTCAGAAATTCAAAGCACTATAACCATAAAATCTATTTCTTTCGTTAACATTTTACTAGCAGACAATTACTAAAACACTAATTTAATCCTATTTTCCAAAAGAAGAAAAATCAAGTTCATTAGAAAGTCTTTTTTATTTATTACAAAAGCAAAGCTTCATTGACAATATGAACTGCATACTAGATATGGTTATTTCAGCATTAAACTGCTTTCCGGAATCCCTAAACAATATAGTGTATTTTACAACCATAATGCAGGTTATGTTTTGCGTACAAAATATGTTCTTTACATCAAAGCACATGTTAACAAAAACAAGTTCTAGAAAGCACATACCCTGTTAAGACTAATGAAAACGTCTTTAGCAGGGAATTAAAGTTAATAACATTCATTTGATAAATATTTTGTAGAACTTAAAATGAGGTTTATTTCTGAATATTTTTTCTAATATTCCCCTTGTCCAGTTTTTGCAGATGAATGGCAAACACTTATTTCTAAAATGAAATAGCCCTGGAAACACCAAGTGGAATTTTTTCAAAGTATAAGTCTAGCCTTAACTTGAATTTCAAGAAGTTGTAGCTACATACTACATTAGTAAAATCTGAAATAAAATTATTCCCTGTTATCTTCACAGTTTCTTAAAAAAATATTAGTGGAGATAAATTATCTACCAGATTTAAAAATCTAAACTTATGTTCACTGAACAAAAATAAATTTAGTTTCAGAACATTGCCTGTTAACGGCAAAGTACTATAAATAGTGCATGTTAAACTCTTCCCAACAATTCATTTCTATAAAATATTTGCTTAAAAATGAGAAACATATTCAATACAGAGGGGAAGACATGAACATCTTCCAAATACAGAATTTAACTCACAAGAAATTTAAATAAAATCTATTTTTAAAAATACAATACCGAAAAAGCTTCTAAGGTAGATTTGCCTCAAAAATTTTAGTGCATTTAGAATAACAAGCTTCTAAGCATCAACACCTTTGGGATATCAACTGTGCTCTTTAAGTTGTAGGCAAAATTATAATTTTACATTCTAGTTTGTAATTATTAAAAAAAATCTGTTCCATGTTTAAATTAAAATGCACCTTCAAAACATCCATATTTAGTTGTTAGAAAAAAATGCATTTGAGAATATAGAGTTAATGAGCTGGTTTTAACAAGGGAGTTCTTTCTCTTTGCTTCATAACAATTTTCATTTTCCATTTTGGGGTACTGTTTTTAAAGAATAAAATGAGGGGTAAAAAAAAACATGAAAGCTTCCAAATGACAACCTGTTTCTTTCTGGCAACTGATAAATACTAAAGCCAAGTTAAACACTTGGAAACTGCTGCAGTAAAATGGCTCTGAGCAGTAAGTGATTTAAGCAACAGTGAAACAGAATTGTAGAATTTTGAAGTACAAGATTTGACAAAGAGAATTATGGTTTGGAGAAACTGTCCTTGAGGCTGCTCTTTAAACAATGCAGTAGCTTAGATTGGAGGCTAAACTGCAAGAACTCATTACAGTGGCTTTCTAGCATTTGAAAGTGAAGGCAGAGGATCCATTAACTTGGCACTTAGGGTTTTTGTGGGTACGTACCACCAATATTTCCCTTTCATTTATTATAAGAGTAGAGGTCCTTTTGGTTAATAGATGCTTAATATTCTCTTTAAGATGCCAATTAGGAGTACATTCAACATATGAACAAAATTAAAAATAGAATTTTTGCAAAGTACACAGAAACCAAGTTAGTAACAATGTATTTTATTGTTTGACCAAGCTCTCTTCAGAGTACGTGAGTTATTACACAATATAAAAACAACAGCCTCCTATTCAAAATTAATTACTCTATATTTATTGTCTTATTTTTATAAACAAATTCAGTGTCATGTTTAGATGCATTTTATATTCATTTCCACACCTTTTTATCCTTTCTCACTAAGGCGACGATGTAGACTCTACACAGTTTTGTCACTGTACACGAAGACTGGTAAAACTGCAAATAAGAATTACAATTTGCATTCACAGAAAATATTTAAATGGCTAATTCTGAAGAGGAGACAAGAATCCATTTTGGACATGTTCTCATTTTTGTAAATATGACTTTGCTATCACATTTTCTCATGTGTTTCTATACCCACGTTTTCTTGGAAATTATGGGCAATAAATTGATTGAAGGAAGAAAAAGGAATCTTCCGAAATTTGTTTGGAGGACTGCATTTTAATAATAAGGATGACTTCCACTTTACCTCTTTGGTCATCAAAGGAATAGGAAGAATAAGATATTCTCATTAGAGTTATCAACCTTACTAACAGTAATAATGTCAGAATGAAGGATTTAAAGTCAAACTGAGGGGGAAAAAGCTATCTAGCACTCTAGTGTATTTACCTGTGAAAATAAAGATACAATGGAAAACTGAAATATGTTTAGACATTGAATAAACAAGTTATTTTAAATATTAAAACAGTTTTCAATTTCAAGTCTTAACTGTTTTACATTTCCCCTTGTGGAAAAAAGAAAAATTTACTACACTGGAATAGCTTTACTATTATCAGTTGAAATGAAAATACCGATTCAACTTAAGAAATGTGAACTAAATAGTATTTCAATTAACAGCAATTTTTAAGGCAATTTCTCTACTAAACACTGAAATGAGTAGTAATAAATTCTGTTAAAAAACAAAGTAATTTATTCTATCATCTTGAAATATGGCAGAAATAACATGTAGTTCAGGGTATACTGAAACATGAAAAGTATGGATAAGCCTTGAAGTTTTACATAAATGTGAGAAATTCAAATGAACACCCTGTAAGAGTATGACTGCACTCCAATTCTCCAATATCTAAAGGAAAGGAAAATAGAGACACCAATGTGTCTAACTATTCTAATATATAAATGACCCTGACCAGATTTTTATGAAAAAAAAATATTTTATTCTACTGTCAAATTTATATTCTATAATGTATCAACCTTAAATTAGCAGACACCTTATTAGGAGATGACAAAAACAAAAACGAAAAACAAAACAGCAAAACTAAGTAAAATATGACTATTTTGAATCAGTGTTGGTTATGCTGCCCTCTTGCAAAATGACAGGCAAAATCATATTTGTTTTTACATTTGCATCCACATATATTACACTGAAAAGGATTTTCATACCCATGACATCCCATATGAATAGTGTAAAGGATGTTGTCTGCAAAGTACATATCACAGTGCTGGCAGTGGTGCAGTAGCTGAGGGTCCTGGACCGGCAGGGCTGGTGCTGGGGTGCTGGGCTGGCTGTTCCCTATGCTGGGAGTGCTTGTGTGAGCACTTGGCTCACTGCTGGGACCTGCCACTGGACTATAGTTCCTTTGACTATGGGACGGCCGAGGTTCTGGGCTTGTGGGAGAGGAGCTCTGAGGAATACTTGCTGATACAGCAGAAACTACTGCTTGGGTAGAGGGCTGCTGAATCATGAAAGGTTTTTCATCAGGGCAGGGAACTACATCAGGGGATGCAGGGTTTTGGTTTTCAGGTGGCAAACTGGACAACTGCCCTGCTAACGTTGAGAGCTGATTCAAAGGGTTATCAACCATGAGTTCTTGGGGGTCCCTTGGAAGGCCACCAGTTGGTGTGGTTTTTGCCATACTTTCATAGGAGTCAGTCTGGATGTTTGGGATTTCGTGAGTAAAATCGTTAAGGTAGTCTGGTTTCTGAACCACCATGGAAGGTGGACTTAAGTTGATTAGTGCTCTTCTGCTATAGCCCAGATTGCTTGTTTTCTTCTGTAAAACCCCCCACATTTTCTTGCTGCTTAAGGAAGACCTAGTACCTTTAATTGGTACCATTTTATGCTTGCGCCTTCGATGATGGGACAGGTTACTTCGATCACTGCAGCGGAAGGAACATAATTCACATTTGTATGGTTTTTCTCCAGTATGAGAACGCATATGGGCTTCCAGATGACGCTCATAAGCAGATGCAAATGGACAAAGGTGACATCGATGAGGTTTTTCACCTGTTTCAAAAGAAAAATGATGGAGAAACTATAAGATTAGTTCATTTATGGAAAGTTTCGCTTGTCCATTCATTGGATTTGGACATTGATCAAAAAGAAAATGCTTTCAGAAGTTCATATTTGCATAGCATACGAGAGTCTTAAAATTTGTAAAGAAACTCACAAACAAAAACAAAGCTTAATAACTCATCAGCAACAACTTGAGATACGCACTAACATTGTATTAGTCAATACAGTATAAAAACTGTTATGGCTTCGAATGCATTTAGAGAGAATAAACAGCACAATTGAAATATTCTAGTAATATTCTGGTTTTTGGCAATAAAAAAATATTCTAGTAACAGTTTTACATAATGAGTTTATCAAAAGTATGTCTCAGAGTTATATGTTCATGTATACATTTATAAACAAACACTCATATTCACACACATATACACATACACATACCCTTTCCTCACAGGAAAAAAAAAAAAATACAAAAAAAGCTTTGTGAAAAGTCCCTATACGAAAGCTCAGAATTGAAATGGGCTTGCTAGTCTGAGTTATGCAAAGTATCCCTTCAAAATTGCTAGTGCTTCTCCATCTTCCTACTCTTCAGCTGCCAAAAGGAACAATTATAGTGAATGCTGTTAACTGAAGACGGCCCAATTATGTGAAATAAACATTTGGAATATGAGATTTAGAGTCATTAATCTAATAAGTAAGTGTC